AGCTGGATGTTCCTGGAGGGGCTGCACCTCTTCCTCACTGCCTGGAACCTGAAGGTCATGAATTACACCAGCGCCAGCCGGTTCAAGAAGAGATTCATGTACCCGTTCGGCTACGGATTCCCAGCCCTGGTGGTGGCTATTTCTGCAGTGGTGAATCCTGACGGCTACGGAACTTCCAAACAGTACGTGCTGCGCCCATCCCGAAGGGGAGCTGGGATGTGGCTTCCATGCGCTTGTCCGGCTCACCCCAGCTCTGACTTGAACCAAGATTTCCCTGCTCACCCTGCCTGGGAGCTGAATGTCCCCCTGGGACCCTTCCCATCCCCAGGGACACTAAGCTGCCCCGAGTGCTGTAGTTGAGTTGCCCACCTGTCAGACATCTGCACTCCTCAACCCACTGATGATGTGGAAGATCAAGCCAGAAAGATCCCAGCTCCCAGGCTGGGTTTATGGGGCTGGTGGGTAGGAAACAAATGCACCTGTGTGCAGATACCTGAGGATCCCCTCTCTAAAGTGAGTGACTCACTAAAACAGGGTGTGGTGTCTTCTAGACACCCCAGGCTAGATCCTCGTCTGGTGTAAAATCAGGGCAGATCCACTTCCTTCAGTGCAGTGAGGCCAATGTCCATCCGCTGCATGTCTGGCGCTCCAGCAATACTGCGCCCATCCACCAGAAAGGGTCATTTGAGGAGGTGGAAGAGGAAGTGGTGGCTGAAAGCAGGAGATGCTGAGGTAGATGGGTAGGGCTGTTTGTCTGCTGCCTGCAAGAGAGTCGGCCATGTCACAGGCAGGCTGAGATGCATCTCGCTTTTGAGAGCCAGCTGGGCCGTGACACCCCCTCTCTGCCCCCGGGGCTGAAAAAGGGCAGTAATCCCATTAACGTCACCTTCTTCTTCCTCCCTCCCTCTAGCTGCTGGCTCAGCCCGGAGAGAGGATTTAATTGGAGCTTCCTGGGTCCAGTCTGTGTCATAATCCTGGTGGGTACCTCCCAGAACCACAGGGCCCCATTCTCCTCTCACCTCTGCAACCCCATTGATTTCAGTGAAGCAGGGAGGAGAACGTGGCCCATAAAACACAAGGAAAGACCCAGTTAGGTCCCACCTGGCTCATCTGCTGTGGTCAGTCCCGGGATTAGTCCCTGTGCTGTATCCCCAGGCCTACAGCCTTTACTCGGGCACAGCTCCCATGGACGTCAGTAGGAGTTTTGCCAAGTGAAGACAGAAGAGTTTGGTCTAGTCTAGTTACTGACCCAAGGAACGAGGAAGGGAGAGGCCTGCACTCTACAGTGGTTTTTGTAGGGGGGGGGAAATGTCCCTACATATTCCTCCCTACCACCTGGGGAAGTTTCGGGGGGGGGAGGGGATTTCCTACAGCCTGGAAGTGGCAGGAAGTATTCTAGAGGCAGGATCTGGAATCTCTGAGCCAGATCCTACTCTCAGTTACACCAATGTAAACCCAAAATAACTCCTGACTCCACTGGAGAGGCTCCATATTTAACTCTGAGCAGCATCTGACCTCTGTGATCCCATTGATCCATCTCAGCCCTGGCTGTGCTGTCAGCTCCACGCATGGGGAGGGACCGAGAGCTGCCAGGGGATATTACAGGAGAGGGGATGATTCCCACCGGAAATGAGTAGTCCCCGGTTCTGCAGTTTTCGGATTGGTCCCCTGGGATCGGTCTCTGCCTCAGCTGGAGTCACCGGCCCCGGATGGGATGTTTTACAGGAAATA